AAATATGTTTATAATACATGATCAAATAAAGAAAACTCAAAAGCTACAAAAAGGGTATACATACAAAGGCTGTCTCCATTCACCTTTCCCTTTGGTCTCCTGGTTCCCGTTCCTAGAGTCAGCCGCTGTTCCCAGTTTTGTATACCGTTTCAGAAAGGCTCTACGTCAATACAAGCATATCTGTGTATTGTATAAATCCCTCTTTCCCTCTTCCTTTTAGACACGATTTCACTCCACACTGTGTCTGGAGAGTGCCCCATTATCTGCACACAAAAAGCTACATCATTCTTTTTAAAGCTCACATAGGATTCCACTGCACATTTGTACCAACACTTTCTCAACAAATCTTTTAATGATGGACGTTTATGTTGTTTCCAGTGTTTGCAAACCATGCTGCAGTGAATATTCTAGAAGTCTTTGGTATGTTTGTATATCTGTATCGTAATAGAACTAATTGACTGGAGCAAGAGGCATGTGTGTTTTTGGTTGTGGTGGGTACTGCCAAAATGCCCTCCAAAGAGGTACCGTTAATTTTTAATTATACATGTATGCATGAATACATACCACTTGTGAAGAAATAGAATATCACAAATGAGGCAAACACTCCCTTACTTACTCCTCTGTCCTAAATTCTGTACTCCTCCCATCTCTGCAAATGAAAAGACCACTATTATACCTTTGTGGATTACTTTTCCAAACCCATTTAACTCCACTTAAATATGGGGAAAGAGCTTTAAAACATGTTTTTATTTTTAGAAAAAAAGATACAATAATATAAACACATCGTATAAAGGGTATATAGCTAAAGAAGTCTACCTCTCACTGCTCACCCCCGTACCTGATTACCTTTCTGTTCCCATTTCATTGTGTTTCCTTCCAGCAATACTCTATATGCCACACGTGGGAATATGTGTTTGGCAGATGATAATTGGCTTGGTGGCAGATGGCCTCATTGGTCACTGGGCATTGTGGGTCCCAGCTATAATGATAAGCTTATTAAGTATAGTACTTCATCTTTGTTACCTTCCAGCTGTTTCATGTTGCAGGCAGTCAGAGATCATTTCCCTATTTTACAGTAAAGGAAACAGAGGTTTGAAGAGGTGAAGGGACTTGGCCAGAGTCACACTATCTAAAGTCTTCTTCTCAATCCATGTTTCGGTCAGGGGAATATTAAGGGGCACATGATTCTCTACCCATTCCTCCCTGCCTCCTTATAACTGAATTCTATTTGGTCACATCAAAATACATTTTAGGACTTGGACTCTGAGCCAGTCCAGACTGGAGGTGGAAGGCAGAGGTTAAAAAATGAGACGGCAAATTTTTAGTGTTTTCTAGTAAATAGAGTAGTTGAAGTGAGTAGAGTGGTGAAGGAGATACGTTTGGAGTCAGACAAAATTGGGCTGGAAGCCTAGCTTTCTTCCTTTCTGACCTTTGAACCTAATTATGGACCTTCCTCCTACTGGAAGATAGTGGTAACTACACAACTATTTATTGGCTTGGCTTTTCTTGTGTATTGGCTACTTACCGGGCAAACCCTGCAAGGAGTGTGGTGGCTACCATTTAATAATTGAGGAAATTGGGACTTAGGGAGGCAGCTAGTCAGTGAAACAGTCCAGGTCTTCCTGACTCCAAAGGTGTAGTCCTTTACATGCTTCCCCAGGCTACCTGTAGTTCCCCCGTCCCCTTCCAACATATATATACCTAGCTCATGTTATTGTGCTTCACTTGATTGTTCTTTGCAGATAGTGAATTTTACAAATCAAAGGTTCGTGGCAACTCTTCCAACAGCATGTGCTCACTTTGTGTCTCTATGCCACATTTGGGTTATTCTTAACAATATTTCAAAATTTTGATCAAACATTAAGCATCAAACATTTCACTTCATTTCAAACACATGTCATCTGTTATGGTGATCTGGGATTTGTGATCTTTGATGTTACTATTGGAATTTTGAAGTGCTACAAGGGACACTTAAAGTAAGGCAGCAAACTTAATAAATGTTGTGTGTGTTCTGACTGCTCTACCTACTGGCTGCTCCCCTGTCTCTCTCCCTCTCCTCAGGCCTCCCTATTCCCTGATACATGACAGTATTAAAATTCATCCAGTAAATAGCTTTTAAGTGTTCAAGGGAAAGAAAGAGTTGCAAGTTTCTCACTTTAAATCAAAAGCTAGACATGATTAAACTTAGTGACGAAGGCAATGTTGAAGGCTGAGATAGATGAAAGCAAGGCCTCTTATACCAAACAGCCAAGTTTTGGATGCAAAGAAAAAGTTCCTGAAGGAAATTATAAGTGCTACTGTAGTAAACACACAGATGATAAGAAAGCAAGGCAGCTTTTTTTTTTTTTTTTTGAGACGAAGTCTTGTTCCATCACCAGGCTGGAGTGCAGTGGCGCAATCTTGGCTCACTGCAACCTCCGCCTCCTGGGTTCAAGCTATTCTTCCGCTTCAGGCTCCCGAGTAGGTGGAACCACAGGTGCGTGCCACCACACCTGACTAATTTTTGTATTTTTAGTAGAGACAAGGTTTCACCACGTTGGCCAGGATGGTCTTGATCTCTTGACCTCGTGATCCACTCACCTCAGCCTCCCAAAGTGCTGGGATTACAGGTGTGAGCCACTGCACCCGGCCACAAGGCAACTTTATTGCTTTTATAGAGAAAGTTTTAGTGATCTGGATAGAAAATCAAACGAGCCACCACATTCTTTTAAGTTGAAGCCTAATCTAGAGCAAGGCCCTAACTCTTCAATTCTGTGAAGGCTGAGAGAGGTAAGGAAGCTGCAGAAGAAAAGTTTGAAGCTAGCAGAGGTTGGTTCATGAGATTTGAGGAAAGAAGCCATCTCCAGAACATAAATGTACAAGATGAAGCAACAAGTGCTGATGGAGAAGCTGGAGGAAGTTATCCAGGACATCTAACTAAGATGACTGATGAAGGTAAGTACGCTAAAGAGCAGATTTTCACTGTAGATGGAACACCCTTATATGAAGAAGATGCTGTGTAGGACTTTCATAGCTACAGAGAAGTCAGTGCGTGGCTACAAAGCTTCAAAGGACAAGGCTAACTTTTATTAGGGGCTAATGCAGCTGAAGCCATTGCTCAATGACCATTCCAAAAATCCCAGGGCCCTTAAGAATTATGCTAAATCTACTCAGCCTGTGCTCTTGAAATGGCACAACACAGCCTGGATGACAGCACATCTGTTTACAGCATGGTTTACTGGATATTTTAAGCCTAGTGTTGAGACCTACTGCTTAGAAGAAAGATTACTGATCCTTGATAATGTACCTGGTCACCTAATGGCTCTGATGGAGATGTATAAAGTTTTCATGCCTGCTAACACAACATCCATTCTGCAACTCATGGGTCAAGGAGTAATTTTGACTTTCAGGTTTTATTATTTAAGAAGTATATTTAGCTGCCATAGATAGTGATTCCTCTATGGATCTGAACAAAGTGCACTGAAAACCCTCTGGAAAGAATTTATCATTCTAGATGCCATAAAGAACATTTGTGATTCATGGGAGGAGGTAAAAATATCAACATTAATAAGAATTGGAAAAAGTTGATTCCAACATTCATGGATGATTCTCAGGGGTTTAAGACTTCAGTGGAGCAAGTCGCTGCAGATGTGTTGGAAAGAGCAAGAGAGCTAGAATTAGAAGTGGAGCCTGAGGATGTGACTGAATTGCTGCAATCTCATGATCAATCTTGAGTGGATGAGGAGTTGCTTCTTATGCATGAGCAAAGAAAGTGGTTTCTTGAGATGGAATCTACTCCTGGTGAAGATGCTGTAAACATTGTTGAAATGACAACAAAGGATTTAGAATATTACATAAACTTAGTTGATAAAGCAGTGGCAAGATTTGAGAGGATTGATTCCAGTTTTGAAAGCAATTCTACTGTGAGTAAAATGCCGTCAAACAGCTTCACATGTTATGGATAAGTTTTTGTAAAAGGAAGAGTCAACTCGTGGCAAACTTCATTGTCTTATTTCAATAAATTGTCACAGTCACCCTAGCCTTTATCAAACACCACCATGATCAGTTGGCAACCATCAACATTGAAGCAAGACCCTCCACCAGCAAAAATATTATGACCTGCTGAAGTTTCAGTAATTGTTAGCATTTTTTAGCAATGAAGTATTTTAAATTAAGGAATGTTTATTGTTTTTTGAGACATACTGCTATTGCATACTTAATTGACTACCTGTTATGTAAATGTCACTTTTATACATGTTGGGAAACCAAAAAATTTAACTTGCTTTATTGCACTATTCACTGTGCTGCAGTGGTCTGGAACTGAATGCACAATATCTCTGAGGTATGCCTCATTTATAAAGAAGCTCTTCATAATGCAAAAAGGTTTCAGCACTTGCCTGATCCTATGTAACCAATTGTAATGTCCCAAAGAATTTGGCAAGTTTTTTATTTAGACTAAAACAATAGAAGAAGAACTTATTTTTCTATGTATATTGTTGCTCATTTTTGCCTCATCTCTGGAGTAGGGAGATTTATCTTCTTAAAATGTGGCCTGAATGCAATGAAATGCTGAGGCCAAGGCTGCTACCATTCTTCCTTGAATAGATTAGAGGCCCACCTTCTTTTTTAGGGAATTGAGAAAAACAATTCTTTTTCTTGTGAAGGGAAGGTGTTCCCCTTTGAGTGCCTG